CGCCACCCCGGCTACCGCGGCCGTGTCATGAAACGACTAATCGCTTTCCCTGCGGCGGCGCATGGGCGCTGACGCCACCTCCCCCTTCTAGCCACCATACCCAGCACTAAAACTCCCTGATGACTCTGACACGCACCTGCGTCGCACCACCTCTGCATTGTCCGCTGGGTTGCGATAACTTGTTGACGGCTGAGGATCCAGGGTGACTTCGTTATCGCCGACTGACTGCCGACTTGTTGGACGTTTCCGCGAATGCCGTGGAATCGGCGGTCGGCGCTTTCGTTTACCGAAAGCGAGCGCAGTCGCGCGTTTCCTGTGAAGCGTGCGATCCATCGCCGCAAACCACGTGCAAAGCTTTTGAAGAGCCTCCTCGGCACAAAGAGCTGCGTCGGTCGTGCGTCCGGCAACTTGCGACTGTTCAAGCAGAAGGCACGGGAGAACTCGACGATCGGGGGGCTGCGCAGAACTATCGTCTCGTGAAGACGGTTTGCACGACAGTGCCGAGGCCAATCGCAAAAGACGAAGAAGCACACGGAGAACGTTTGCAACGAACAAGTCGGAGCAGACAACAAGCCGCGCGGCCGGCGCGGCAGCCGCACCATGCGTGGGAGATGAGCACGTGAGCGCGCGCACCAGCCAATAGCAACCACTCGTTTCCCCTCGCTCCGAAGGAGCGCGCGCTCCGTCCAATTGTAGCTCCGCGTTTGAAAAGCGGGAAACTCGAATACCCCGTGCGCTACCCAATCGCAAGCCAGTTACGCCTCGACCACGCCGTTGTTGTCACCGCTGATGGCGGGAAAAAAAAAAGCAAGAAATCACGAACAAAACGTGACCAAGATGGCGGCGCTCGGTTGAGCGGGGGAGAAACGGCGTGCGCGCGAAGTTAAGGTATTTTTGACGATCACGCGCTCCTCAGGTGCTGCCTCGGCTAGCTAAATATTTTATTTGAGGTACTTTTAGCGCGAATTCGGCGCTGATATTTACAGAGGAGGTAGTTTATAGATTATACTGACCAAATACACTGTTTTCTAAAAATGGACTTTTTTGACATTTTTTTCGGTTTTCGAAGGCCGCGTCCCCCCTTAAGATGATGTTAGCGTTCTTCCAAGATTCTGGTACTCTTCCCGTCTGGAGACACCTCGTAAACAGGGTGGCTAGTTTTTCTAACACAATCTGTCCTCCATCTTTCAGCAGATCTGATGTTACCTGATCCTCACCAGCAGCTTTGCCTCTTTGCATGCTCTCCAAAGCTTTTCTGACTTCTTCTATCATTACTGGTGGGGTGTCATCTGGGTTACTGCTAGTTCTTATAGTATTAAGGTCGTGGTTGTCTCGGCTACTGTACAGATCTCTGTAAAACTCCTCCTCTATTTTAACTATTCTATCCATATTGGTAGTTATTTTGCCTTCTTTGTCCCTTAATGCATACATCCTACTTTTGCCTATCCCAAGTTTCCTCTTCACTGCTTTGACGCTTCCTCCGTTTTTCAGAGCGTGTTCAATTCTCTCCATGTTATGCCTTCTTACATCGCATACTTTACGTCTATTAATCAACTTCGAAAGCTCTGCCAGTTCTATTTTGTCTGTTGTACTTGACACTTTCATGATTTGACGCTTCTTAATTAGGTTCTTCGTTTCCTGGGAAAGCTTGCCAGTGTCCTGTCTAACTACCCTGCCTGCAACTTCCACTGCACACTCCGTAATGATACTCGTCAGATTATCATTCATTGTGTCTACGCTAAGGTTGGTTTCCTCACTAAGAGCCGAGTACCTGTTCGGCAGCGACACTTTGAATTCCTGTACTTTCCCTCTCAGTGCTAGCTCATTGATTGGCTTCTTGCGTATCAGTTTCTGTCGTTCCTTCTTCAAGTCTAGGCGAATTCGAGACTGTACCATTCTATGGTCACTGCATCGTACCTTGCCAACCACTTCCACATCCTGCACGATTCCTGGGTGTGCGGTCATTATAAAGTCTATTTCGTTCTTATTTTCGCCATTAGGGCTCCTCCATGTCCACTTGCGGTTTTCTCGTTTTCGGTAGAAGGTATTCAAAATCCGCAAATTATTGCGTTCTGCGAATTCTACTAGTAGCTCTCCTCTGGCGTTTCTAGTGCCGATGCCATAATCTCCTACTGTCTGGTCTCCAGCCTGCTTCTTTCCTACCTTTGCATTAAAGTCGCCCATCACTATAGTATACTGTGTTTTTACCTTACTCATTGCCGATTTCACGTTTTCATAGAAGCTTTCAACTGAAGTGTCATCATGGCTGGATGTAGGCGCAAAAGCCTGTACTACCTTCATCTTGTATCTTTTACTCAGTTTAATTACAATACCTACCACCCTTTCATTAATGCTATAGTATTCCTCTATGTTGCCAGCTATGTTTCTGTGAATTAGGAACCCCACTCCCAGTTCTCTTCTGTCTGCCAAGCCTTGATAGCAAAGGACGTGCCCATTCTGTAGCACAGTATAGGCCTCAATTGTCCTCCTAACCTCACTGAGCCCTATTATATCCCATTTAACACCCTCTAGCTCCTCGAATAGTACAGCTGGAGAAAATCCATATTTCTCGTGTTGCTGGCTACTGCAACACAATTTTATCTTGAAGTTGTTCCGCTAGGTATTCGCTGCGGTCAGCGAACTGACGGGCGCGCAGCGTTGTTTCTTCATCTGGTAAAACACAATTCGAGAGTTTCTTAACCTAATGAGGTACTATCTTATACTGTGGTTTAGGGTCTGCCCACTTGAATTGACTGATGACACAGGCGGCCAAAGTGGTATCCTTTTCTACCTTAAATTAGACGAATTGAGAAAAGTTTGAGGCTGGTTGGGCATTTTGGGGCACTTTTCATGAATTTTATTGTTTACACAGTTTGGTACACAAATGAATAATTTTATCAAATTGGCACAGCTGTCGCTCCCCTGCAGTATCAAATATTGACTAGAACCATCAATCATTTACGTGCAAGCTTACCTGCCCCGTTTTTCGAATTACTCTAACAAAGTGTCTCCTTGCAGTAGTTTACCACCTAGAGGCAAAGTGGTATTAGGAGAAAGACAAATTGACAAGGTGTTAATGAACAAAGTATAACAACAAGACAGAGAAACCATTCACTCGCTAATTACATCAAGAAGCACGGTGTCTGGTTACATAGTTTTAAGAGGGTTAATCATGCACAAACATAGATGCCGCATTTCTAAGGCTGCTGTCATGGGGTGTGTCCCACTTACTGTCAATAGACCTTCTGTAAGCAATGACAGCACCAACGTGCTTGCACATAACCTAATTTCACAGAGTAAAATGTCGCTGTAACTTCTTTTACTAACGAATCCCCACTGATACCTATTTCATAACAACCCTTATTACAAGTGACAACCATGTCTTAATATTTATTTGTCGAATATCATTGCCCCCACAAGCAACATTTCCATGAACTGCCCTGATAGGCTGCAAGTGTTCCTTTCAACTCGACTGTCACCAGCCCAGTGCCCTTTGCAATTGGGAACCTGAAACCCCCCAAGCTCTAGAAAGTTTGCGTTCACAGAACATCATTCCAAGTTACGGCCATATTTCTGGACATCACTCCAAGTTGCGGCCATATTTCTGGACATAATTACCCCCGTGGTCATTGCAGTAATTTTGCGCTTGAGATAAGATTGTGGAGCAGAAAAAAGGGTGCTTTCGAGTGGCCTTAAGTGTCTTCAGAGCAGAAAGAAACGCTACAGCTTAGGGTTGCTATTGGTGTTTTGGAAGCACATGCATGTTCCTAATGACTCCTGAAGTCTAAAACATCACTTAAGCGTCTAATAAATATTTATATTTACTATTATACATGCCGTATGCAGCAATATAATTGGCATAAATCATGGGCCAGGAAGACGGGGGGTCAAGAAAATTTGGACTTTTCTGGTGTTCATGCTGAGGAGGGCACCCCTTGCAAGTGTCCCACTTGAGATATAGTTTTAGCATCAATATAATTGAGTTAACAGTCAAGTATAGTGCAATGAACTTTTCAAAAAGGTTTTTTGATCTTCTACTGCGTACCTTGGTAAAATGCCCCTCAGTGCTGTGAACTATGGAAATCGAAAAATTGTGAAGAAAGAGAGACTGAATAGAGCAATACAATTGCTGGAGCTCAAACCCAGTGCTCGTTTTTAAATTTTTTTGAAAGTATAATTTAATCTTGTATAACTAAAATTTCAAAGCATATTAAAAATACGAATTGGACACCATGGCCTGATAAGCGACAGCCCTTGAGATTTTTCTCGATTCACGCCATTGAGTAGCACACTAGGATGGTAGTGTATACAGCTTGCTTTTGGTTTCGCTTAGGCTTACGGGATGGTCCCATGGTTCAACTTCATTCTTTTTAGTTTGCCAACATCCTTTCGGAGCGGGTTTGGAGCAGTAACTAGCAAATATTGCACTTAGAAGCAGCATGGAGCAGCATTTTTTTGGAGCAGTTTCGAGCAATTGGAGCACCACTTCCATATCTGCCAATGTTATCAGGCCATGCTGTTAGCTATTCATGGATTGATTCACCGAGAAAACTCTGCCCATCTATCATATTCCTCCTGTGTTATCTTCTTTGACAGCTTGTGAGGCTCATATCGCCCTTTACAGCTTGATTTGAAGTGAGCGTCTGAGGCAGTCTCCCGAAGCTCATTGAGCCATGTCCTGTCCCGATTACACCACTGACACAAGACTTAGTTTCAAATTACACCTTCCCGCAAACCCGTTGTATCGTTGTATCGTTAGCGCGATTGAGCAAGGCATGACGAAGGGGTGCGATGGGAAGAAAGCCCCTATCTTTATTGTAGCAGTGCTTGTATACCGAGCGAAACAAGAAAGGGTGCGTACCCTCACTGCACTGTCGTATCAAAGGGGGCGGGTTTGACACGAGGCACATGCTGCGCAAGATATGATACATCCTCCTTGGTGTATAAAACAATTGACAGGTGAACACAACTGGAACGCTCACAAAATGTTAAGCACTCATTCACGGCACTTGAACAAAGTTCTCGTTGTAAGCATCCTGGACTCGTTGTAAGCATCTTGGACTGGATGTGATGTGTCTGAAGTCGTATGCCCTCGAAAAGGACCTGAACTCGTGACACGAAAATTGCGGGCCATTATCTGTCAGAACTTCCAGTGGAATGCCGTACTTAGAAAATATGGCGCTAGTTGCCTGAATGACAGAGTTCGCCGATGTGTCACGCAACTGCTCCACTTCCGGAAAATTTGACAGCACGTCGTATACGCTGAGGTACGACCGTCCACCGTACTCAAAAATATCAATGCCAACTTTCTGCCACGGCATCTCGGCCACCGGGCGCATCATTAAAGGTTCTTGCGGCTGAGTATACGCGTACTTATTGCACACTGCACATTTCTGCACGAATGCACCAATGTCGGCGTTAATGCCGGGCCAAAATACAAGTCGCCTTGCCCTTTCCTTGCATTTGTTGATGCCCATGTGTCCTTGGTGAATTCTTTCTAAAGTGTCTTTCCTCAAACTGTTCGGAATCACCACTTTACATCCCTTCAAGAGGACACCTTTCACCTGCGTCAGCTCTGTAGAGAATGGCTTCAGCTGTCCCTCTATGCGTAACCCGTATTCTAAACTGTGCAGCACAGCTTTAAGATACGAGTCCCGACTCGTTTCTGCTGCTAGTTGTTTCCACGTGTCATCACTGACAAGAGATGAAACGACACTTACGGCGTGCACTTCCACATCATCGCTCTCGACATCACTGGCATAACTTGAGGTGGGCACCCGCGACAGCATGTCGGCCAGCAGAAGCTGCTTTCCTGGAACGAATCGCATTTCTGTGTCATAGCGCATCAATCGCAGGAAGAATCATTGCAGGCGGGGCGGCATATCACCAATGGGTTTTTGGGCGATAGCGAGCAAAGGGTGATGGTCGGTCTCTAAGATAACGTTTCGGCCATACACGAAGTGGTGAAAGCGTTCGCAGCCGTAAACACAAGCCATCGCTTCCTTCTCAATTTGCGAATAACGCTGCTCTGCTTGAGTTAGCACGCGGGAGGCTTAGGCCACCGGCTTCCATACGTCATTGTTGCACTGAAGTAGCGCTGCTCCGATACCGTTCTGCGATGCATCGCATGATACTTTCGTGGCTTTTGTGGCGTCGAACACTGAAAGCACGGGCGGCCTGCTGAGGTCAGCGCAAAGTTGCTCCCACTCGAGCGCGTGGTTGGCACTCCATTCAAACATTGTATCTCGCCTCAGCAGGCTTCGCAAGAGGCTAGTCCTTTCGGCTAGTGATGGGAGGTATTTGCCGAAATAATTGGCGACTCCTAGCATTCTTTGGACGGCCGATTTGTCTTCCGGCGCAGGCGTCTGGAGCATACATTTTATCAAGGAGGGGCTCGGCCTGATGCCATCCTTGCTGATGACGTCACCGAGGTACTCTATTTCCTGTACACCGATTGTGCATTTGGCCGGGTTAAACGTTAAGCCAGCTTGTTGGGCTGCTTGTAGTGCCGACCTCAGGCGCGCGTCATGCTCTTGCCTAGTTGTGCCCCAGATAAGGACATCATCAACGTACACCCTGACACCGGGAAGGCCATCCAAAATTTCTGTTAAGGTTTTCTGAAAAACCTCAGATGCCGATGATATACCAAACGGTAATCGCAAAAAACGGTACTGGCCGAAGGGCGCGGAGAACGTGCAAATTTTAGAAGTTTCTTCATCGAGCGGTATTTGATGGAACCCTGAATTTGTATCGAGTCGAGAAAACAGCGTCGCGCCAGACAACTCGGCTTCTATATCCTCTTGTCTAGGCATCTCGTAGTTTTCCATGCGCTCGAATTCTTCTTTGAGGGGCTTCTGGAGAGTCAGGGGTACGCGCCGAGTTGGTTGGACCACCGGCACCGTTCCCTTGTTGAGGACCATCTGGTAGACGCGTTTGACACACTCCGTATCGGTGAACAAGTGGCGAAATTCATCGACGATTTCTTCAGAGCTTGTACGAGACACGGCGTGTACGTGCGGGATCAATCCAAGTTGCTCGCTCTCCCTCAAGCCTAAGATGGCCTGACCCTTGTGTACCACGAAGAAGTCGAGTGCAGCGGTGTGGTCATCCAGCGTCATTTCCAGTCGCGTCATCCCCGCAGGGGCGCCTGTTAAAGCAGGCGTTTGGTGTGTAGCGACACCACGGACCCGAGCTAACGGGGGAGTTTCTACTCCCTCCCACGCCTAGCCGTGCGTGGCTTTGCCGTGCCCGGGGAAAAGGGGATCCTGGGGGTTGAGCCGACGCTGGGTGATTGGAGCTTTAAGGCCCCCCGGCAGAGGCAACACACCCCTTTGGCCCCGGCTTCACGTAGACGGCACCCCTGGGCTGACCCACCCAGGGGAAATCGGCAGTCGCCTTTTCCTATCTCTCTCTCCCTACATCTTCGTCTTTTGTTCTCACTTTACATCTTTCCTGTCTTCTCCTCACTTCATTTTACTTCCAATTTTTCCTGGCGGCAAGGGTTAACCTGGTGTAAATATCCAAACTTGGATAGATATATTAGGTTATGGCAGTGGCGTACTACTGGCGTTGTGCAGACATGTTTATATGTTCTGCCACGTCCCCTTGTTGGGCTCCGTGGTGGGTGGTAGGCGCCACTACTGAAGGAACTGCACTTTTCTATGGGACCACGAAACCCCTTATCCATTGATCGCCCCTTCAAAAGGTGGCGCACCGAAGCAAATGTAATGTCAATTTCAGAAAAGCAAGACCATTTCCCCAAATACCACGTTATTCATTGCGAAAGCTCGGACAAAAAAGCTCGCAACATCTCCCCATTCCTCGTGTCCAGGTGCCTAACCGAGGCTATCGGAACTGGCTATAAGGCTACAAAGATGGCAAGCGGAGACTTGCTAGTGGAAGTTAAAGACAAGACACAGTTTCAGAAACTAGAAAAATTAGTAGCATTTGGGGACAAGCCCGTAACCGTCTCTGCGCACCGAACGATGAACACTGTCAAAGGCGTTGTGTCAGACGATGACCTAAAAGACCTAACAAATGATGAGCTTCTGGCTGGCTGGAAGGACGAAAACGTCGTTCACGTACAGCGTATCGTAGTGAGAAGAGAAAACAAAGAAATTCCAACCAAGCACATAATTGTGACCTTCGGGTGCTCCACACTACCGCAAGAATTAGTTACCGGCTATCTAAAACTGTCTGTGAGACCCTACATTCCGAATCCGCGGCGCTGCTTCAAGTGCCAAAGATTCGGACATGCTTCTCAGAGTTGCCGTGGGCAGCTTACCTGTGCACGGTGTGGTATCACAGGCCACTCTGCAGATGATGACTGCAAGGCCGAACCCCACTGTGCGAACTGCGATGGAGAACACGCGGCGTATTCTAGATCCTGCACAGCATGGAAAAAAGAAAAAGAAATTATTACCATTAAAGTCACCCACAACATAAGTTTCCGCGAAGCAAGGCATCGGGTCTCCCCTTTCTATGCAGCAAAATCATTTGCTGAAGTGGTGCAACAGGGGGCAGCACCACGACAGCATCAGGTGGCCGCCCAAGCTACGCACAGCGTGCTGGAGCGACCGCCGCTTGCCCCTACTGCGGGAGCAGCCAAGGCTGCTCCGGCCTTACCCAACAAGGCCCCACCACGGGCGTCGACATGCATTGGCACGAGCCAAGGCAACGGGCAGACTGCGGGAACCCCGTCGACGTCCGGTGTAGAGGGTGTGAAGGCTTCGTATCTTGAGCCGAAGCCCACAACACCCAGGGATTGCTCGGCAGAGCAACGGTCCAACGCTTCTCATGAAGCTATGGACACAACCGCCAGTCAAATGGCGCGTGCAGCGCCGAAGGAGCGGCGAGTTTCTCTCGACCGCTCCAAAAAAGACAAAAGACAAATTACAGGGCCTCCAAAAAGCCCTGTAAAATAAGTTTCGTTTTCCATAACCTGAAAGGTTATGGTACCATTCTGTTTTGACTTTAGTATCACACGCATGTCACCAAGGTTTTATTGCCAACAAATCAATTCTTACTCCATTTTTCTGCTCAAGTTCACTGCCCAAAATGGCTTTTCTCCTCCATTGGAATTGTAGAGGACTCATTCACAACATAGGTGACATAAAAGATTTGCTAAGTAGTCTCTCTCCAATGGCTATGTGCTTACAGGAGACCAATCTGGGAGAAAAACACACCAACTTCCTCAGAGGTTTTACCGTAGTACGTCGTGATCGCGTCCACGCTAGCCGGTTGTCTGGTGGTGTGGCTATTGTCGTCAAAAGTGGAATTGCAGTGAGAGAGATCACCATCAACAGTCACATCGAGGCCGTAGCCGTCACCATTTTAGCTCACAAAACTATCACCATATGTTCCATTTATATCCCCCCACACACGCATTTTTCGATTAAAGATATAGAGCATATTTTGGACCAACTGCCTGAACCGTTTGTTATCGCAGGGGATTTTAACGCGCACGGTATGCTTTGGGGAAGCAGTACAACTGACACCAGAGGACAAACCCTCGAAGATTTTATTCTGAACAATGACGTATGTCTTTTAAATACTGGTAGCGTCACCTACTGCTCCCCAAGCACAGGAGCCACTAGCTGCTTAGATCTAGCGCTGTGCTCACCTTCGCTCTTTTGGGAACTAAAGTGGAGCGTGATAGATAATGTCTATGGCAGTGACCATATGCCTGCTCTCATAAAATTAACACAAACCCTCCCCACCACTCAATCCCGACCACCGCGTTGGAAACTACATCTGGCAGACTGGCCACTGTTCACTGAAAAAGCTGCCCTAGAAAAAGAGATGCTTGATGGCCTAAGCATAGAGGAAATGAACGAGACAGTCACCGCCTGCATACTTGCGGCAGCCGAACAAACTATACCACAATCCTCCGGCATTATAAAGAAAAAACTTAAACCCTGGTGGACAAAAGAGTGCACACAAGCTAAAAAAATGCAAAACAAGGAGTGGGGCATTTTTCGTAAACATCCTACAGGAGAGAACCTCCTAGCATTTAAAAAGGCGAGAGCAAAAGCAAGATTTATTCGCAGGCAGGCTGAAAAACTCTCGTGGAAAAAGTACATTTCATCCATCAACAGCTCCATCACATCCAAAAGAATGTGGGATCAGGTGCACAAGGTTAACGGCAACTACAGTTCATACACCATCCCCATTCTCTCAACCCCTGGCATCCAGACAACTTTAGGCGAACAGGCAGACCTACTAGCGCAGCACTTTTGCGCTATTTCGAGCTCAGCAAACTATTCGGCAGCTTTCCTAAAACATAAACAATCTACAGAAAAACAAAAGCTTCCTATTACAGGTTATCAAGACAGATCATACAACTCCCCCTTAACCCTGCAGGAAATTAACAGAGTGCTTTCTCAAGGTAAAAAAACAGCACCTGGCCCAGACAGAATACATTATCAAATGCTCGCCCATTTGTCTCGGGAAGCGGTGAAGGCATTGCTGCACTTCTTTAACGCTATTTGGATCACTGGCAGAATGCCAACAGAGTGGAAAAAAGCCATTATAATTCCAGTTCTCAAAGCCGGAAAAAACCCTACATTACCAACAAGCTACAGGCCCATAGCACTTACAAGTTGTATGGCGAAATCCTTCGAAAGCGTTATTAATATTAGGCTAACATACATCCTAGAAACCGATAACTTGATAGATGTTCACCAATGTGGTTACAAGAAAGGATGTTCCACCACCGATCACCTCGTTCGCCTTGAACATACAGTACGAGAAGCTTTCCTGTACAAGCAGCACTGCTTAGCAGTATTTTTTGATCTTGAAAAGACGTATGACACAACGTGGAAGTACGGTATTTTACGAGACCTGGCAGATCTTGGAATTCGCGGAAGGATGCTCAACTGCTTGTCCGACTTCCTATCGAACCGAACTTTTCAGGTTCGTTTGGGTACCACACTTTCAGAAACTTTTACTCAAGAGAACGGTGTGCCTCAGGGCTGTGTCTTAAGCACAACTCTCTTTGTCGTCAAAATGAACTCTGTGAACCAGGTCATACCATCTACTCTTATGCACTCACTATATGTGGATGATCTCCAAATAGCGTGCCGGTCATCTAACATGGCGACGTGCGAGCGACAGATTCAAATAGCACTAAACAAGCTAACACAATGGGCTAACAAAAATGGCTTCCGGTTTTCTGAGGAAAAGACGGTTGCTGTAGCGTTCTTCCAGAAACGAGGGTTACAACCAGACCCCGTACTGAAAATAAACGAAACAGTATTGCCAATAAAACAAGAACAGAAGCTTCTGGGGGCCGTATTTGATAAAAAGCTCAATTTTCTTACACACATTAATAATCTCAAGGTGAAATCCAACAACGCCCTCAATGTCCTCAAAGTCTTGTCCCGAAAGCACTGGGGTTCCGACCGTAAGTGCCTCCTGCTCATCTACCGCTCTTTAGTACGCAGCAAATTAGACTACGGTAGTATAATCTACGGTTCAGCAAGAGACTCGTACCTTAAGCGCCTAGACCCTGTCCATAACAAAGGGTTACGCCTCGCAACAGGTGCCTATCGAACCTCACCTATTTCGAGCTTATACGCCGAAAGTAACGAACCATCCTTGGAATATAGGAGAACGAAACTAATGCTCACGTATGTCCTTAGAGTTCGTTCTTCACCAGATCATATATGCCACAGTATTGTCACACGCTGTGACCTACGACAACACTACGCCAACAAACCAAACGTAATTAAGCCACTAATACTAAGATTTGAAGAAAAATTTCATGCCCTGAATATTCCTAACGAAGCACTCTCCATTGCCAGAAGGCCACCCAGTTTGGCCCCATGGAGTGATTTCTCCAAATTCTTGGATTTTTCACTCACACATATAAAAAAACAAAACACCCCACGTGAACATATACTACAAGAATTCCTTGCATTACAACAAACGTACAACACTTACGAAGAATTTTATACTGATGGTTCGAAGACATCTGCTTATGTCGGAAGCAGTGTGGTAGGAGCAACACACGAGCAAATAACTAGACTACCGCAGTTCGTATCCATCTACACCGCTGAGTGCTATGCGTTATGGATGGCAGTACGATACATTATAAGCTCAAAACATAAAAAAGCCGTAATATTTACAGACTCGTTAAGCGCGCTGAAAAGTCTCAATTATAAATCTCAGTATGAGCCATTCATAGGCGATATTTTAAACATGGTATCCTACACACCTGATGACCACACCATACGCCTCTGTTGGGTCCCGAGTCATGTCGGGATCCCAGGCAATGAAAGGGCAGACCAACTAGCTGCAACAGCAAAAAAGATGCGCGAGTCAAAAACCAACATACCTGCCAGAGATGGGATTCAAGCTGTTCGCCGGGCCACCATCTTTCACTGGCAGCAGGAATGGAAATTACAACAAAACAACAAACTTCACCTAATTAAACCTGTTCTTGGTGAATGGAAGACCTGTCTTCATCAAGCGCGTTGTATCGAAGTAGTTATATGTCGACTACGAATAGGTCACACGCACATCACACATAATTACCTATTGGCAGGCGAAGAAGCCCCAACATGCGATAAGTGTCAGGAGCAACTAACTGTAATGCACATTCTAATAGCTTGCCCACATATGGAAACATTAAGAGAAAAACATTTCCGTATGTTTTACAGGTTAAATATTCCCTTTCATCCAATGCTACTCTTGGGCGAGGACGCCCTAATACCTATAGCTGATGTGATCAGCTTTTTAAATGAAGCACAACTTCTGAACAAGGTCTAACTACACTAAACTATGCTACCGCTAGACATGGCAAAACTTGACTGATGTGACTCGTAGCACAGCCTCTTCGGAGAGGCATCTGCTGCAGCTGGAATTTACGAGGCACTTGCCTCCCTGCCCTTAGGTATAAGGACACGGGTATGGTATTAGTGCTAGGTAAAAGCCGTTACAGTTTAACATAACCTCATGCACCAACCATACACATTGACCACCCCGAACATCACACACATAATCTTAGAAGAGATATATACTTCACGCGTTTACGGAGCCAAGTTTTTAGGCCTTTATACAGCCACGCTTCACCGCTCATCATATTCATATGTCATCACCGTTAGGACATTTCAGAGTCATTGTCATAGCCCTGTTTGCTGTAAGTATAGACCGATCCCACAGGCCAGTTTCGCGACGCCACCGCTGCCGCGGCAGCCGCGGTGCATGCCGGTACTTGTAGTCGTCCGGGCGCACCAGCCAGCCGAAGTGCCTGAGCGTTCCCTTTTCGATAGATTTTTCGGTCGTGTGGAGCCGTCTTACGATGGGAGTATTTACGTGCTGTGTTCCTGGATGCTACAACAACAGCACAAGGGATAAAGGCTTGGGTTTCTACGTCTTTCCTAAAGAGCAAAAGCTTCGGGTGACGTGGATTCAGCGTATCAACAGGGCTGGACGGGGCGGCAGGTAAGACATCTTATTAAATGTATAGTGCCGCTTTGAAACTAAATAAGCGTATTGCGGTGGTTTTTTTTATGTGAATGTTTAATCATGAAGCTTAGCATACCAAAGAATATGATCTTTGCTCACTCTGCCTGCGTATACTCTTACCGGATAGCTCAGCCGCGGTTCGCGGTTGTGCATGCCGGTCATTTTTTAGCGCATCTTCCTTATTCTAGCGTTTTTTGTTACCGCTGCGTACTAATATTATTATTATTACGAGTTGTAGTGCTGAGGTCTTTTAGTTTTCCATGTTGCTCAAGTGCAGCACCGCGTACGCGGCTTGCGTTTTTTTTTTTTACAACGCAAGTGGCAAGCATGCAGGCATAAGGGGAAGGCAAGCTCATTGACGAGGCTCTCCTAATAGCTCTACCGTACATCGAGACCTTACTTTTTAGAAACGACGTAACGTACTTCACGGCACGCTTGCAACAACTTACCCAGAACTCGTTGTGCCAAACGGCGATTAGCTTTCGCGGATCACCCTCGATGCAAACGGTGCCTCTGTAATCTCGTCCTTTCCGTAAAATAGTTATCTGGTGCATGCACGCGGCCGATTTCGCTGCACCTATGCAGATGAGTGGCACAAACAGCTGTATAATTTACCTGTGTGTGGCGTTGTCGAGTGAGGCTGAAAATTAAAATTACATTTGTCATTTGCCCTTGACTGATATGGAACTTTTTGTACGTTAATCAAGAGAAAGTGATACTGTTGTCTTGCAGTGGTAGCATGCAGACTGGACATTTAAAAGGAACCTGAAAACGCAGTAGGTGATGTTCAGTGTCATATGAAATAATGCTGGAACTTTTTGTGCTCAGGTTCTCCAAGTTTACGCCTACCACGGGACACCGAGTATGCGGTGCCCACTTCGAAGGAGGAAAAAAGACTTACATGAACAGAGTGCCCACAATCTTCCCGCTGAGACCGCAAAAGGTGGAAAGGAGGCGACCACTCATTAGGACACAGGTAATTTGAGCGCTAGCAATGCAGAGAAATAGCATTACGTTGTTGCATATGCACCACTGAATATTTTGTTATGGCTTAATGCAGGCAATGGCTACTTAAGGGTTGCGCTACTGCGTAAAAAAAGCAATGATGCCGAGTAAACTTAAACTCGTGTGAAGGTATAAAATGCAGTATTGGAAATCTCACCTGCAGCTGCACAGTGTGTTGTAAAAATCACTGAAACACATGGCTTTCTTTTTTCATTTTCCCCTGACAGCCGGAACTTCCCAACAGTCCAACTGTGGCACCCCAGCACGACCCAGAAGTCTCAGGCTCTGCCATCACTAGTAGCAGCAGCGACAGTGAAGACACCGCACAGCAAAGCACTCTACTCATGGACCATGCCTACAGCAGCCAAGAGTCAAGCTATGACCAGCTTGCCAAGAAAGTTGCTTGCCAAAATAATATAATAACTGAGCTAGCAGAAAAGGCTGAAGCTGCTTACGCGCATGTTGAAGAGCTCAACCGCCAGCTAAAACGCTCTCAACAGGACCACGCTGAAGCAAAAAAGCTATGTGACCGCCTTCAGCAGAAGAATAGGTGCTTGCGGCTTGAGCTATCCTGTATGCAGAAGAAAGTCAAGAGGTGCAAGGCTGAAGCTACACAAAAGATTGACATCACGTATGAAGCCCTTGTAGAAGATGAAAAGAAGCTGCGGTACTACACTGGCTTTACATCCAGAAAGTCCTTCGACAGTTTTTGGTCCCTACTTGAACCAGATGCGAAAAAGCTGCGGTTCTGGCAGATGAAGGAAACGGAGAACGAGGACCGGAACTTCATCCTGCCTTTGAAGACACAGCTTGTGCTCGTCCTGATGAGGCTACGGCTGGGCCTTGACGGCCTTGACCTTGCGTACAGGTACGCTGCCAACGTTGAAGTGTTTTTTTTTGCATCAGTACTCATTTTTGCCTTTGCATAAGGTCCAAGTGGAGTGACTAATGAAACTCTGTTACCATGCCAATACATTTACACGGGCATACTGTGTATAATGTTATTTATGAATATGCTGTGAGAGAAACAAGCATAACCCAATCAGCCCGAAAGGGGCCATGAAGACAAAATACGAGTTTGCTTTATTCAAAAGATTTGGTATTTTGTAATACCCTTAGTGCTTGTCCGGGAGCAAACGAACTTTCATTCACTGAGAAATTCAAGTTTAAGCCAAATTTCAGTGTTCCTGCCGAGCGTAGCTGGTTTTGTTAGTTACTTTGTGCATAGGGGGAATGCAGCATGCTGTGTATTCGTACGTTCCTCAAAATATCAGCAATGGTATGCAGCACTTTTTCACTTATCGTTTATAATGAAAATGACTGGAAGTAACAAGGTGCTTACACAAAAGGAATTCAGTACCGTTTAAGCATCTTCTGCAATGACATCTTCGCGCATTTTTTGCAAATTTGTTTTTCGTACAGGTTTGGCATTTCTACGTCAACCGTTTTGAGGATCTGGGTAACATGGCTGGATTTTTTGGACAACAGGCTTCGCCAGGTATGTCAGCACCAGTTATCTTTTTTTATTGCCTTTTGTTTGTGGGCTCTGTGATGGCCGCGACAAATTGCAACATTTATGGGAAGGGAGAAAGGGGACTGGATGGAATTTTAGGTATAAAAGGCCAACTGTACACTGATCAGTCGCGTAGCCAGGGTTCTATTTCAAGGGGTGTTTGTCAGCCTTCCCCTCATGGCCAGATATATTAGCCCCCACTACTGCCTTTCTGTCTGTCAAGATACCTGCTAAGAACGTACAGGTAATTTAATTCCCCGAAGCATGCTTTTTTAAGCTTACTGCAAGATTGCTCAGCTTGAACACCTTGTGTTTGCATTCTAAGATGGATCGATTGAATTAAAGTAAATTTCAGTAAAACTACTCGTTAGGCAGTTGGTGCACGCTTGTAAAACCCAGAGCGCAAAAATACAACACAGGCGAAGCACAATGGGACAAGCACTCACTCTCAGCTAAAAATTATTGGAAGCAACGTCACATGTCACCTCACCTTAAATGTACTCATTTCACTTTTTTTATTCTGCGGGTTGCTACATGGCTCAGTGCCCGCGGCGTTGTGCTGCCCAAGAATGCGGGTTCGATTCTCGGCCGTGGCTTCCGCTTTTCTTACGCAGGCAAAAAGCGAAAATGCTCGCATGTTCGAGATTAAGGTGCTCGGTAAAGGTTCCCATCTGATCAAATTAAACTGAAGCCCTCCACTACAGTGCACCTTATAACTTATGTAGTGCCTGTGCATTATAACTCAATAAATCAATCGATGAACCTTCTGGGTCTTACAGCACATGCCCAATGCAGTAAATGATTTCATTTATATGTAACGATGCTTCCAAAAAAAGTTTTGTTGAGAGAATGCTTATCCCAGCATGCTTCTCGTGTGCCCGTGTGTTTTTTGCTAATTTTTAGAGCATTTGTAGATTCATTTGACAGTGTTACAAGCTGTGATGACTCATCTTGCGGTCTCTACTGCAGAGCAGTGCCAGTACTTGTGGCAAAAATCAAAGGTGGAGAAGGTGACTTTTTAAATCGTACATTAAGAGCAATGGGGAGATTCATGTGCATTGAGAATGCAGTCTTAGATCCTTCGCATAGATCCACCACTCTAAGACCACTCCCCCCGCCCGTTCCTAAGCCACTGATGATATTAATGTAAAAAATATGAAAACCCACTTTTCCTTCTTTTTTTCAGGTCCCAACTTGGATGCCTCCCCACCTGTGCGACAAGTACAGGCCACAAGCTTTCACTGACAAGGGCTACACCACTGTTGACGGCATCCTCGACTGCACCGAAATTTTCATCGAAACCCCCTCGTCATTCCGTGTACAGAGTGAGACCTATTCCTCGTACAAAAAGCACAATACTGCAAAAGGGTTAGTTGTGTGCAGCCCGAACGGCTTTGTTATGTTCGTGTCCGATCTTTCTCCTGGGAGGCTGTCTGACAAGGCCCTAACAAAGGCTTCCGGTGTGTTGGAAAAGTTCTCACCAGGGCGAAGTTTGATGGCTGATAGGGGGTTCACCATCGAAGAAGAGTGCAAGGAACTTTCACTGCACTTGAACATTCCGCCATTCATGGAAGGACGGCCTCAACTGTCTGAAGCAGATGAAACTGAGACAAGGCTTATTGCCAGTGTGCGCATACATGTGGAAAGGGTCATTCGGAGGATAAAGACCTACAGAATACTCTCACAGGTGTTTCCAAACAGCATGTCTGGAGAACTGAACAAGGTGTGGCATGTTTGCGCACGCTTGACAAACTTTGTGGGTGAGCCATTGCTGTGAGCAGATGTGAGTGAAGTCTGCATGTCTGCTGATAGGCTGCGCCAGTTCGCTTGCACTACATTTGACTACTTTTTTGGCCATGCAACACAGCCAGAAATGGGAAGGATATAGGCCATTGTGCCTGTTCTAGGAACTGCTCACCGTCTCTCCAAGCTTTTTTATTCACCTTAGCCCAAAACAAGGAACAACCCAATCCCTTCAGGAGGGCACGTACGAAGAGCCGTATCCTTCCCGTGCACATTCAAGCATCATAAGAAATGTCCCTGCCTAGGTTTTGTATTCAGTTTATTTGCTTTGTTTACTTGGTCATTCCCTTATTCTCTAAATTTCTTGAGAACTACGTTTACTTGCACGAAAAGATGTGTTGTCTGTATTGACCCCCCTTTTCTTTTTTGTTGTCATAACACATTGCTACCTGTACTGTCATGAACGTGCATTATGCAATAGCCATACTCTCTTCATCTCTGTCACCATTTCAAACAGCGGCACGTTTTGATGCTTTCCATTAAAATCGAAGTGAACCCATGCCTGGCGGTGTCAATGAATAGGTACATACATTTATTTCGATAGGGTAAAAGCTCGTGATCGTGGCCATAGCTGCCCATTGAGAAGCATACTTGTATGGGCTATCACCATATTGTCCCCTTGTGTCCAGCCATCCAGTATGCTGTGGTTTAACATAAACATGAAAGGTTAATTAACAGGCTGACGTAGCCTTTTAATGCGTGACAGCATTCATTGATAAACTGAAGGTATGTTGAGTGTATCATTTCCTGCACAGAAACCAGCTGCAGGAGGATAATGGAGCTGTGAAGAAACGGCGTTACACAGTGCTCGAGTAAATTTCAAGAAGCCTGCAACCGCCTGTTTTGCAAGAAACAGTTGTCTAAAAATATTTTCCACATAGGGCTCCAGTACAGTGGTTTATTTGACATTGTTTTCGTGCTTCCCGTAAACTGTGTAGGGCCTTCAGGAAAACAAAAAAAAACAGGCCAGAAGGCACATGATAGTACAGGCCTACACACTAGCAGTGGTGGGTAAAAAGTAGGGCCATAAAAGAAGCGGGTCACAACACATCATAGCACAGGCCTACACATTAGCAGTGGTGGGATAAAAGTTCGAATAGCTCATGCCAAGTGACACGTGAGCAGGTGCCTCGCTGTCCCACAAAACACTGATTCATGGAAAGCTGTGGCATGTGTTACCGGTCTGCTTGTTTAATTCACCTTGAATTAATTCAAAATGAAGGCGAAAAGAGAAGTACAGACAATGCAGCAGTAAAAGAGCCCGTCAATGTAACATTACATTGAACAAAGTGGCAATGAAGACAGACACAAATAACACAAATACCCTATCAGTAAAGAAGCAGTTAATAAGTATCACCAGGCTTTTTACCTCCACAGTACGTAAGCAAGCTTAGGTGCCCCGAGAATTTTTTTAAATTCCACATAAGTTGCTGTTTTGGAGCAAGGCCGGCCCTTACAGTAGCACGCAAGCCATAATGGTGTGAATATTAGTAGCAACAATAACGCCAGTGGTGCAGTTTCGTGTGCTTCATGGCATAAATAAGCAAGCCTATGCCTCCGCGAAATTAGCATGAAGCACACAGACGCTTCACACTGGAGGGCCTCACGCTCATTTGTACTATTTTTCCCCAGCGTGGTCAAGTTATGCACGTGAATGATGTACAAAGAAAGAGGGTAGACTGTTCTTGTTAACGCAGAACAAAAATGCACAAACCTCATACATAAACATCTTTGTTGTAGAAAAGGCAATTTACAGGCACAGAAGCAAAACTCTGGTGGGCTACTTCTACTGGCTTGAAGTATTTATGGTATGACAGAACACACGCACAAGCTTGAAAACATTTTCTAGCTTTACTTTACCAGTTACTGGAAATGTAGGGAAGCAAGTAGCTGGAAGTAAAAAATTTGCAACGTTCTATGAATTCCGTGAAGAAACTCTGGTCAAATGGCACGGAGATTTGTCGGCACTCTTCCTTGCTGTAAACAAACAGCACGCAGGTGTTCAGACCAGTCACACCCATCTGCACTTGCACCTGAGTATAATAGCCACTACTTTTTTTTAGTTCCCCAGCACGCAACTGCCTTTTGGCAAAATCTTGAATTTTTAGGGGCACTTTGATCTCAAGCAGCCGTGGTGCGCAACATTTACACTTCACGAGCCCATCTGGGCTTGCACCTAGAAAAGCGTGATGACGAGAGAGGAAGAGGCCAGTTTCAGTCACCTCAAGCTCCACGTGGCTGTCATTTTTGTCCTGAAAGGCTTTCCTGGCTTCAGGCTCACACAGCAGGCCTCTCTTCATGGCAAATGTTGCCCTGCCTTTCTTTTTCCCAACCACTGCTGCGATGAGACGTCGGGGATCATGCGGCCCCATTTTGGTTTGGCACGTCCTGACCCATGTGTAAACTCTATGCGCTACAGATGCAGTGATCAGACCCTCCCTATACATATGCCAAAGGAGGCAAGCACTTTGCAGTCGTGTGGCTGCCTCTACGGCTGTAACTTCTTCGTCTGTGTATGACAGCAAAGCATTCCCCTGTTTGGCTCGCTCCAGCCACCTTAAAGGTAGCCCAGCCACATCTTCGGTAGCGGGGCTCTCAACTTTTCTTTGTTTTTCGGGAAGAAAGTCATTTGCTTCAAGTACGTCTGCGAAGCAATCGAGCCCACATTCTTTGAAGTTTCCATGCAAGTTTATGAGGCTCAGTGTTGACAGATTCGAGTCTTGTGTTCTCAAGCATGAGTAGGCTGCTCGTTTTTTGTGAAGCCTTGGTGCATCACTGATTTTTTCAGTGGTGTCCTTGGAGAATACAATCTGTTGAAATTGCTCAGTCACTTTTTTTGGATCCCGCGGGTTGTACCACTGCCGTTCACCTTCAGTGCATGCAATGGCATTTAGTACTTCAGTGAGATCATGTTGCGCAATGTGCATCAGCCCGTACAAAACGCAGCAAACATGTTTGCAGACACCACCTTTCCCAGCAACACATGAGCAGCTGCCACTGACAAGCTCCCCATCACACTTAAACAACTTCACCCCAACACTGTACACTGTCCGTGTTGCCATGGATGCCAGAACTTGTGCCTTCACCACGGTCTCTGCGGTGTCTTCAGTTGAAAACACCAACTTTTGCAGGTGGCCTGATGTGAAAAGCCGCAGGCCAGCATCTCGATGTTTTCTAGCGCCTTTACTTTCAGTGTACCTGCATGAAGAATAAACGTTCACGTTTACATGCTGTGCAGGACTTTTTCCTTCCAGAATATACATTTACACATTCCACCCTTTAGTTAACTGTTGCATAATAAAAATAATCCCACTTTCAGGCCTGCAGAAACAGCTGAAGAAATTTTTGTAATTGTACTTGGCTAGAACAGTTGGCATGAGTACATTCCTGTGCATAAACACCTTTTCATTTCCTACACAAATTTGCACACTCCCACTTTTTGTCCATTGTGCAAGTTCTGAAGATATAGAACTAAAACTAAATTTAAGAAGACTGTCTACTGCAATCAGATATGTAAAAAACTTCATTTTAAAGTGACCTCAAATTGTAACAGCAAAATGGTTGGGAGCTGCGCTAGTTGGCACGTATTCGGATGGGAATCAGTTAAACTTTGTCGGAAACACACGGCACACTGTTGACTTTGTGATTGGGAGCGACGGAAGTAATAGCCGGCGAGAACAAACTTTCAGGAAGATGGGGACGATCGAGTAAAGTCGGGCTCGACTCGATCTGGGCGCTTTGTTACGTGGTCTGAAACTTCACGAAATAATGTGAGGGGAATGGAGGAGAGAAATGCCAGCTTTAATTATTCATTTCTCAGCAATCAAGAGCTGTTGGTCATTGAATAAAAGCTGAGAAAGCTACAAATGGCGTTATTTTCCAGCTAAACACAAAGTTACTCAGACCCGCCGCGGTTGCTCAGTGCCTAAGGCGTTGTGCTGCTGAGGGAGAGAATGCAGGTTCGATTCTCGGCCGCGGCGGCCGCTTTTCTGATGGAGGTGAAAAGCAATAACGCCTGTGTTTTCAATATTCCGGCGCACGATAAAATCCCCAGGTGGTCAAAATTAATACGGAGCCCTCCACTACGGCACGCCTCATGCCTGCATTGCATCGGCGGATTAAACCACACAATCAACAAAGTTACTGAGCCTGTAGCGTACCACTTTAATAAAGAGAAGAATTTTTGCATACTACAGAGCCTACAAGATGGGTAGAGCTTTGTGGCACTAGGAATAGTTCAAGAAACGTTACACTTTCTGAAACATTTGGGTGTCAGCATGCTCTTTTTTTCCCAAATAGCACTCATCAGTTTTAGAGAATCATGACTGCCGAGTTAAGTTTGCATACCTGACAATGTGCTCCTTTCCAAAGTATGGGTTCAGGGAGCTTGTTTTGCAGGTCCACCCTTGACTGTTGTGGTTGTGTAATACAGATGCCATGGCACAGCATTACACGGAGCTGCAAAAAAAAAAAAACAGAGCCTGAAGGTTAGTTTAATCTGAACATAGCCAGCTAAACTTTCTGCTAAGCCAATACACTTTCTTAGATTACATATTTTTATCAGGGCGTTACCCTCTATTGGTGGAACATACAAACATCTGCATGCTGCGTACTCTATAAAAGAACCCCGGGCAGTGTCAGACAGTCGGTGCCCGTTGTCCACGCAGAAGCCAGGCCAATGAACCAGCTGCACGTATTAATAACATAATATGCCTCCACTGCATGATGCTCGTACCCGATGAGTAGTAGTAACGACGTGTGGACTAGTTGGTGTGGTAGCATCATGCAAAAAAGCACAAAAAACACTGAAACGCAGCAGTAGTTCTCATGAGAAGAAAAGAGAAGAAATCGCTCGCCCTGTTTTCAGGACCTTACCAGTACCAAATCTTTAGTCACATGATAGTAATCCCATGACAGGGACTGCACTTTACTAGTGCTGAGATAATCTTCACTGTTGCACATACTGCACACAGT